GGTTTTGGCTTGGAGTCAGCTGAGGTTAAGAAGTTTACCATCCATTTGGTAATTTAGCTCCACTCTGGCTGGAAGTTTGTTGGTGATCATATGTAGCATCACAACAAGGAATATTCAGATGAGTGTTGGAGTGACGATGATGTGGACATCTTTGTGATCATGGGCAGAAATGATGACATAGTCCACAGTACATTCTATGCACTTGATCAAGAAAAAGATGCCACTGCAGTTGACCTTTCCTACTCCTTCCTTGCCAATGGTTCTGTTCCAGAGGTTAGAGTCACTTCCAACTCTGGCACTGAAATCACCAAGAAAAATAAGTGTCTCCCTCTGGACTATCAGAAAGGATTTGGTCAAGTTTGGTGTAGAATTCCTCCTTGGCTTCATCAGCAACATCAAGAGTCAGGGCATACACACAGATGACAGTGGCATATTGGCTCCCCACCACTTTAAGACAGACAGTCATGAGGCACTCATTGATTCTGAAAGGGAACTAAATAAGTTGGTTTATGAGTTCATTCTTATTGGCAAAACTAACCCTGTGAAGTTGGAGTTCTCCTTCCTGTTTACCCTTCCAGAAGAAGGTACAGCCACCTCCATGTTCTTTGAGCTGCCCATCTCCTGCTTGCCAAGTCTTGTTCAGTGCAGCTACATCGCTGTTGTGTTGCCTGAGTTCTTCGGCCATAATTGCAGTGAGGCGCTCTGGGCATTCACTATTAGAGTTGTCCATGAGGGTGCCAGTGTTCCACGTCCTGAAAATGATGATGTCTCTTTGCTTGTATTTTCCACCGCAGTAAAGATGTTCCCACTGGATGCAGTTATCCAGTCAGGAAGAAGATAGACAGGTTATGTTTAGGGCACCTTTTCTAGCCCCCTCTCCATGTGGGGTAAGCAGAGTGGACTATGAAGAGGACTGCTCAGTCACAGTTACAGCTGCCAAACCACACTCCTGTCTCATCCAGGTGCTAGATGACTTCCTTGTAATTGCCGAATTCTTGGAAATGCCACCCTTGCATTTTCATGACAGTTCCTGACTAGGAGCTTCCAGACCTCACAATCCTGCTCCTGTCACCATTAACTGGTCACCAAAGGGCTTGAGGAATGTGCTAGAAAAGCTGTTTTCATGGAAGACACCTGTGCATGACTTCTTTTATCATAGAAGAGCTGCTGCACATCAGCTTTCACACAGCTCTCGACAGAATGGGACCCTGATCCAACAGCAAGAAGAACAAGACAACTGGGGATCTTGTTCTGCTGCAGACTTCATCTGCCTTCACAGCCATTGAGATTCTAACATCTTCTTCCACCTGCTCCACCATTGAGGACTTGGAGACCCATGGCTGGGGGCTGGGAAGGCTTATTATAGTGGTGATCTGTACTTGTCATATAACAGCACTGTCAAAGGATATATGTGTGGCTTTTCAGGAAGGAAAGCAAGTACCCTGCCCCCTAAACCATTCTGCCTCTCAAAACAGCTTGGTTACTTGCTTCTTGCTGATCATAACTCCAAATTCACCGTTACAGAAATCACAGGAGAATTAGGAATTTTAGCTGGGAGAAGGGAAAATTTAATTCCATTTTTATCTGCTTCAATTTTTTTTTATTTAAAGATTTGCCTTTGCAATGTTCTCTTCACCTGTTTCCCTCAGTACTCCCCCTTTAGTGTGTTGGATTAGATGCTACACAGATGAAAGCACAGCCTTGTGTTTTGATTGAAGTATGGTTTATAAATATTGGGACGTCTGTTTTCTAAGCTTTGGGGCGCTGGTACCTGCTGTAGCTGCCATATGCTCCAGTGGCCTAACAACTCATTGTGCCAGTAGGGCATTTAGGTGGGAATAAGCACAGCAGAGATGCAAGGAGCTGAAGAATTCTGGTTTTCTCAGATCTTCATGAACAGCTGCAACTCATATCCATTTGGCTGAGTATGGTAGCATAAGTAGGGTTAGGTGAAAGGGACATCTGCTCTGGGCACCAAGTTAGGAGGGGTGCTGGAATCACCCCCCATCCCCACAGAGACCATGCTCCAGCAGCAAGAGCAGCCTCACGGCTTACCCATGCCCGGAACTCCAAAACAGTTCCCGGTGGCAGCAGTTCAGCCAGGGGCTATTTAAGAGTTCCTGGAGTGGGTAAGATTGCTGGACCCTGCCCACACCCTACTTTCAGAACTGTATGCTCTCCCTACCACCACTCTCAGAACCCCTTTGTGCTCTCCCCTCCCCACCACCCTGGTTCATCCTCAGGGTTTGCCCCAACCACTGACTTTGCTTGTTATGTCATTGGCTAAGTGCATCAGTAATACTCTAACAATGATAGCTGGTCCCAAGGCTTTTCATAGTCGAGGAATAATTATCCAGGAGATACAAGGTCCAGGGGAAATTTATGATAGCTAGGTGCAATTAGCTGCACTCCATTCAGTTTGTGAACAATCACAGATACTGAGGTTATGGGCAGCACTGGTTCAGCTGTTATAATAGTTGTAGGCAACATTGGTCAGCTAAAACTCTACTTGGGAGCTTGTAACCAACACCTGAATAATGTTTAGGACAGCTGCTGTGTGCAAGAGTGTGTATGCATGTATATACATATACACTCCCTCAAATATAGATTATTGGAATCTAAGGCTTTCATTACCAAAACCCACATGCCTCCCCATAGCGTTTCAGCTACTGCAATAACTATGCTGTGACAGCCTAGTGCAGACATACCCAAGTTAACTCAGGTACCAGTGTCAGTTTAGCTGTAGCAGCATGGCACTCTGTGCAGCCTGCAAAACCCACCCAAGCAGCAGAATAAATCCGTGGATGTCAGCCCACACTGAACTTTGTGCTGCTACTGCTAGGCTGCAACCAGTATCCAAGCCATTGACTGCAGTGTAGACATACCCCAAGTAGAAAACTTTGCAGTCTCTATTGTTAGGTCACTAGAGGGAGACAGTCGCACACTAAGCTGGCAGCTCCAAAGGTGTTCTACAGTAAACGACACTGTGTCTTTTCCCTACACAGATGGGGCAGCATAAAGTGACAGAAGCACAGCTTTGTGCTGAGACCCCTTGGACCGTAAAGATACATGTGTGCATGTGTATGTGTGTATGCATACCCACACAACACAAGGTTGAATAAACATGGCAGAATCTTCCATGACCTAGTAGTTAAGTATTCTCCTTTAATTCCTAGGACTGCAAGCTCTATAGAGAGGGAGCCAGGGAGGAAAGAGATGATGAGGGCGTCTCCCAAAGTACATTTTGCCAAGAGGCCGCCATTTCCTGAGTAGGGCTGCAGCAAGAGAACTGGGGCCACAGGAAGCTCACAGCTGCTCCCACCCAAACTGCCTGCACACAAGTGCTTCTTTCCTGTGCCAGGGGCGGAAGCCCAATGGGGAAAAAAAAAGGCAGGTGGGATTGAGGGGAGCTGGGCAGGAAACAGACTTTCCGCTCAGCTCCCACACATCACATTCTTAAGGAAAAAGCAGGGGTGGGGACACTGGATGCCATGCATATGCTGCCAGGGTAGCTTGTTCTACACTGGTGTGAGGGAGGAGGGGGAAGAGTCATCAGGGTGGGGTTTCTGAGGCCTCAGATATTCCAGCAGAGTGATCCTCCCCGTTCAGCCTTCCTGTTGGCTTTTACTGGTTGTGACTCACTTTCCATTGTCTGGTTGTTTTTTTTACACAGCTCCCCCTTCCCCTTCGCCATTGCCTCAGCTTTATGACCCTGGCTCCCTCTCAAGGGCTTTCTGCAATACCCATCTCCTGTTGAGAATGGGGTATAGGGAGAGAGAGAGACAGAGAGGGAGAGGTGCACTTGCATTTGCCATTGGGATCTTTGTAACCACTGAACAAGCTGCTTGCCTGATGTCTGTAGAGCTCAGGTGCTTTAATGGAGCTTTGGCACTTTTATCTAATGGCTGATTGAGTCAGCTTTAGCCTAAAGTGCAAAAAAGCTCTGCTGAAGGGCCCAATCTATATAGATGCTGCAAACCTGGGTTGAAGTAACATGCTGCAGCTTCCGGTAAATGTGTTTTTTTTTGTTTTTAACATCTGCAAGCAGCCAAGAGAGCTTAACTAATCACCTGTAACCTGCATAACAGTGAAGAGTTGGAGGAGATGTGATTTCATGCCCACTGCAATTTCATGTCCAATTAAATTATTTACATTAAAAAAAACCATTAATTCCTAATATGCCTGGGATGACACGTGGGCACCTGGAACTGGAACCAGCCAGCCCACCACTCCAAGAACACACATCTCTGTTGGCTCCTGCCTTTGGCCTCCTGATCTGAGGGAGCAGGAAAATGGTGCAGTCCTTACATTCCCCAATTATCTTAGAATCAGGGAGCCATCCTCTCGTTTCAGGAGAACGGTCTCAAAGCTGCCCTGTCCCTTGAGTGGAGCACAAATCTGTCCTCAAGGTTAGAAAATGATTCCTTCTCCCTTCCCAACAGGGCAGCGCACTCCCCTAGCTAATATACACTGAGACAGATCTAGGTCCAGCATTTGGAAAGGGGCACAATGCTACAGATGGCAGGGGGCTGGGAAGTGGCAGTGAGTTGCTGGATGGCCTCATTCCACTAGAAAGTAGTGTTAATACCCAAGCAAAAGGAAACCTCACTGGCAGCCAACCTTAGCAATGGTGTGACTGGAGGGAAAAGTTGGCGGGGTGGCAGCAGGAGTAGCAAGGACTGTGCAACGCCCATTACAGTTGGGTGGAGCAGGGATGGTGTCTGTAAGGTAGCTGTGTGCCAGAGAGACGGAGGAACTGTGAAGGCTGGTGGACAAGGATCTTCAAAAACTCCTGAACAGTCCCCAGAGTCTGGGCCTTGATCAAACTTCCGCCCTGGATAGTCTCTTCCCTCCTCTGACATTCTCTACAATCTCAAGCCCTAGGCTTTTCCCATTCTCTGCACACTCAGCTCCAGATGTATTTGCTTACTCTTAGTCAACCTCTGCAGATACATAGGGGCAGGCCTATTCTGCAGTCCAGATCTGAGGAGTCCACTTACCAGTTTTAATGTTACTTCCAGCATCCCTTATGTCCTCTGGAAAGGGCACGTCAAGGTCTTCATCTGAAGTGGAGGAAATAAAACAAAAGGAGTTTGTTACTGAGGATTTAATATGAAGAAATTTATTCTTTGTGAGACACAGAGAAGATGGTAGGTTCCTTAGTCTACCACCTCTTCAGAGATTTTACTGTTTTCCTGACTCAGGCCCAGTGAACTCAGTGCTAACCTCACCCACTGTCTTTGCTGGCAGCAAAATCCCAGCCCTTAGGACTTGACTGGGCACCCATCACCCTAGTATCTAAACATTCAGAGCACAGTCAACATAAGCCCATGCCACAGACCCAAGGAAAGAGACACAACATAAAGTCCCAGTGCAAGTAGACTATAGGAGGAGTTAACTCTAGCTTTTATACAGTGCTGTTCATCAACAGAGATAGCAAAGTGTTTTACAAAGGAGGTCAGTATCATTACCCCCATCTCATAGATGGGGAAATTGAGACAGCAAGAGGCTAAGTGATTTGCCCAAGATCACAGAGTAAGTACATCAGTGGCATAGCTGGGAATAGGTCCCATGTGTCACAGGTCTCAATCCAACACTCTACATCTACTAGGTCACACTGTCTTCCAATTAATCGTTCAAGGGGACAGAATCATTATGTGGAAGGAGCAGAGATACTATGGTGATGGGCAGCAGCACCAAACCTGTAAGCAGGCAGGCAAACAGATGATTTTGGCTGAGAGAGCATCTGACTGTCAAAATAATAAATTCTGCATTTAGACTGTGCTGAGGGGAGACGGAAGTCACTAGCTTCTAGGGACTGGTAATATTTTAAGACACGTTGCAGAAACCTATGAATTGTTATTAACACTAGTGAAAACAATCACTTATTAGCATCATAAATTTACATGGCACTTTATAAAGCTTCATACAGGAAGCCGTATTTCCTGAGCTGAAGAGCTTATGGTCTGCAAGAAACAAGACACCAAGCAATATTCCAGGAAAGACAGGAAGTAAAAAGGATTTTTGAAAGCAGCAGAATTTAAGACGGATTTGAAGGAAGAGAGAGAAAGGGCACCTGGCAGCAAAAATAAAAAGATGCTGATCCAGGCCTGAGAAGATGGATGGTAGAAGAGGCAAAGATTATGGGACTTTTGACACTAACTTCAGTGGGAGAAAGTTTGAGCCACAGGAAAGGACTGACATGAGAGGCAGCAAATAGAAGGATGCAAGTGAGATGAGACTATTTGTGAGCACAAAGAGAATGAACTCAGTGTGACAAGACCTGGTCTGTACACAACTGCTGCACTGATTTAACTGGCTTTAAATAGAGGTTGCTTAACCCTGAACAAAACACCATCAGAGATTGCTTTAGAACTGTTTCCCAACAGGATTGTGTTGACTTGAATTAAATCAGCATGTCAGCATCAGCACCCAGCTGCCACCTGGTGCAAGATCTTTGTACTAAGGGACTCATTCCAGTTCAGAAGCTCTAACAGTAGTCGCATCCATGTAGATCTCAGCTACGTTCCAGAAAGGGCCGGCCCATGCTGAAGGGTTTTGGCTGAATTGCAGCTGAATGTGGGTCCACTGCATGTATGGATGAGGCCAAGCAGCAGGGCTGGATTTCTCCCCAGCACAGCCCATCAACCCTGAACAGAGGACCTGGTCTATTTAGCCTGTGGGTGGGAAGTCGGACAGCTGCCTCCCCGACTCTAGTGGAAGCAAGTCTGTAGATTCGGAAATGGATTGCTGTAAAGGTTAGCCCAGGGTCATTTGGCAGGTTTTCTTTGCAACCAGAGTGACTAGAAATGGAATTTAAAAAAAATGAAAACCAATCCCAATGCTTCTCAAAGACAGGTATACATCTATAGCACCTAGACCTTAAAGCTACCATGACCAGGATCATTCAACTCCACCTACTGCCAACAACTATTGACAACCATGGGTTGTTTTTGCAGCACAGGCAAGCCCTGTGCAGAAGTCAGAGGCGCCTTCCCAGAAGGCCAGTCTGCAGGTCTGAATGGATCTGGTTTTGATCTTAGGATAGATCCATAGGTAAACCCCAGATTCATGATGCTCCACAGTGGGCAGGGCCATTAGTCCACACCAGTCCTTTTGCTGATACCATGCAACTTGATCACTAGGCAGGAGATAATCTGCTGCGCTTAAGCACTTTCTGAAGACAGAGCTCTCCCCCCACCCCCCGCCCCACCCTCCACAACCCTGGACCCAGCTGTCTCTTCCACCGGATTCTAATCAATGCAAATCAGGTCAGCCCTCCGCTGTGAATTACAAATTGGATCCAAAGTTGGAGGGTCACTGCAACTGCTCCCCCATTAGACGGGAAGCGGCACCAAAGATCTTTTCTAAATAAATCAGACTTTATTGTAAAACTCGGCCACTGACGAGACATAAGCTCATTAGCATTGATTTTAAAATAAATTATTGAAAGTGGCTTTTGCCTGCTCTTTGCATTTGTAAAAGAGAATGTAAATGTATCTGCAACAATGATAAAAAAACCTCACTATCAAGGCCATCAAAACTAGATTCCTTTATCCTTTCAGACAATGACACTTAATCTGGCCTTGGCATGAAAGGGAGGCAAATCTGACAGATTCTCCTAGTATAGTTCAGTTCCAGAACAGAATCTGTTTGTCATTGTACCTTTGGAGATATCTCCAGGGCAGAGCCAGGCTTATACACTGAATGCCAGGACTATCAATACAGAACCCATCAACCACTGCCAGCTGGACTTGATAAAGAAGTTATTGGTAGAAAGTTCTCCCCAGCCAGAGTCAAGAGTAGTAGAAAAGTGCTGAAACTGCTCCATGGCTAATGCCCCATGCACTCAATAGAAGGGAAAGGATGCCCACTGATTAGGGGACTGATATCAGTTTTGGGAGACCAGGGGTCAAGTCCCTGCTTTGCCAGAGACTCACCGGTGACTCTGGGAAAGTCACATGGTATAACTCCCCACCCCCAACCAAGCTAGGGAGTATAAATAAAAGACCAAGGAGCTCTGATAATAGGATGCTGGAAGCCATATCTGTTCCCTCAACAGATGGGTTTTCTAATGCCAAAGTGGACACTTCTATTCCGCCACCCACACAGAGCCTCAAGATTCTCAGATGATAGAAGCAAGGCAGAAAAACGAGGGAGACAGGGAAGCAAAATCTCATTGATTTGGACACAACAATTTCTTGCTTTATTTTTGACCTAACTCCCAGCCCTCCATACCATTTCCAGCTTATACATTCCTTGATAAGACCATTCTAATACCAGAAATCAGCACCCAAGATATTGTACTGGGACCTGGGATGATAGCTCTATTCTTCTGAACCTGCAGATCAATCAGAGGCAGTTCATTATGGGGAAACTTTCCAAGGAGCCTCTGGAGCTCACAATCCCAAAACAGAAAACGAATGATGCGTATGACTCCTTTTGGAACTAAATAGCAAAGCCACTGACTTAGCTTTCCCCCAAGAGGTGACACATGCTCACACAATAAATGACTCTAGCTGCTTCCTGGAAATATGGAATTAGCTATTGCTCCTTGTACTCTTAGAAAGAGATGCTCAGATTCTGTGGTGTACATGCAACCATCTAGGTACAGGGAGAGACATGGTAGGACAGCCCAAGTGTATATGTTCTAAAACTCAGTTTCCCCAGCAACAGTGGGGATATACCCATCTACCTCAGAGATAAGTTGCTTAATTCCCAAGAAGCTGGATGTGACACTCGGATATAAATTATTGGAGAACGTCATTAGATAACAGACCTTGTTTTACCTGAACCCCGTGGGACCATCCCCTGTTCATATATGTGGAATGGTAATATATAGGAGGTATCTATCTAATAAAACAGCACCAAAAAAGAAAGAGGAACATAAGACCAAAAACTACATGTAACCTGTATGTGTATACAT